ACGGCATCAAAGACTACATCAACGCCTTTACGTTTAGTAATTGATAAAACCTACAAAAATTTAATAGCAAAAAGACATGCTTAACAGCTTGTATGCTATCAGCCATAGAGATCCATAATGGTGTGCTATGTGATATGTCAGATATTGATTAGTGTTTTCGTATTACTAACTTCCGTTTTTATATCTTGTTCCCGGTAGTTAATAGCATGCATTGCTCCTTTCATTTTAGCTAATGCTGTCTTTTCTGCACTTCCAGCAGCGCCAATAACGTTAGCTCCAAATACATTAGCTCCAAGATCTACTGCAGCCAAGCCGGTCCCACCAGCTGCAGCAGTAACTAGCACAGTTTCTCTGTAAAATTGAAGGTATGATGTTTACTATTTAGTAATACGTAAGCTGAACGAAGTTTACTAATGAAGATTTGATCTTGTTCATATATTGTTTTTAAGTACAAAATAATGTCTACTACGATACAAGAATTTATTTATACATGTTATAAACTACAAATATACTTTTAGATTTGAAAAAATCTGATAGCTATCGACTGCTAACCCTTTCTTAAGTTCAGCTCGACGATCAAAAGCCATGTAAGCAGTAGCGTAAGATACAACTAGCGTTGCTGCAGTCGCATAGCTCACTGTATTGGGTATTTTCCAAGTAGCCTATGAAAGTACAAATCAGTTAATGTTCCGTTATACTTGTATATTAGGTAAGATTGCTCATGTTGCGATATGAGGCATACCACAATCGAAAATGTATTCTATGTTGATATTGATTTAATAAAATATTATTCTGTGTCGTTTTAGGATACTGTAGTATATGATGAATATATAAATGGGCTACGATAGGTTTCATGCTTTCGTTATACACGGTCACAACTTACATCAACATCAGTAATACATTGTTCTGCGAATCCATGAAGATTAACCAACGCTAGTACCTTATCTCCCTAAAAGGAAAATTATTAGTGATGATACGCTGCTTGTATACAGTAAGTCTAGAAAATTAAAAATTCAGCAGCAACCTATGTAAGGGTAGTGCATGGCGTCGTTAAGTACAGTATAATAATATATTTATCTTAAAATGAATTACATGATAAATTAACGTC